AAGAAAGAAGAAGAAGAAGCTTAGTCAGTCTGGAAGAAGACACCCATCTATCTATATAGCCTTTTCATTCACTGTCATTTCATGCCCTGTTTTATGACCTGACCTTAACCATGATGTCAGGTGTCATGTTGACACACCATGCAGGAAAGGAACCTAGTCTCGGAAGAGGTCCTTGCAGGAATGCCAATTAAAACATCCTAGACTCCGTTGAGTGTCCAGCCTTTGCTTGAGTAGATCCAACCCAAGGGGAGTCCACACCTTTTCTGGGCAACTGTCTGAACAGTTGAACGAACTAATAAGAAGCAGGATTAAGCCATGATTAAGCAGATGCTTTTCAAATGTGGACCTCGGAGCAAATAAACCGTTCCTTTTCTCCTTTGTAGACTTCTTGGAGATGGTTCAGACCGAGCTCTTTTCATGAGTGAGGCCGGAGAGAATGAACTAGCCTGGGAAAATGCATCCGCCAGTGCTTAATTGACATGTTCCTTCCTGCCTTTTTTTTGTGTGTGTTGTTTGTTTGTTTGTTTCCCTTCTCTCTTTCCCACACGGTCATTCCAGGATTTTGAAAGTTCACAGCCACGACTCTTGAACTTTCTTCAGCCAGAACATTCCTCAGTCAGAATCCAGGGTCCGTTTCTCCCCAAAACCTCCCTTCCTTCTTCTTTTTTTCTTTCCCTGATCAAAAGTTGCCGTTGTTTCCTGCTCGTGCTTCCCTCTCCGAAGGAATCGCCATGAAAGAAATGTTGTGATCATGAGAACGTTGTCCTAGTATAGACCACCAGAACTAGAGATGGATCGTGCCATTTCCTGTATCTTCATGAAAACAGAACCACCAAGTTCAACCCAGGTGGCGTTTCAGTTCCGCAAACAGAAACCTCTGCAGTTAATTTCTGCTCATTTCTGCAGCAGTTTTGGGGGGAAAAAAGGGTCGTTCTCAACTTACAACCATTTGTTTAGTGGTTGTTTGAAGTTACAACAGCTCTGAAAAAAAGTGACTTCTCTTTCACCCTTATGACTGTTGCAGCTTCCTATGGTTACAGTGATCCAAATTCACACGCTTGGCAACTGGCTTGTACTTACGACAGTTGCAACGTCCCGGGATCATGCGCCCCCAAAGTCAATGAGGAAGCCGGATTCACTTAACGACAGGGTTACTAACTTAACAACCGCAGGGATTCGCTGAATAATTTGGGCAAGATAGGCCGTAAAATGAAAAATCTCTTTTTTCTTTTCTTTTCTTGTAGATGGTTCATCCGGCAGCCTTGGTTTCTGTGGCTGGCTCCTGGTTATAATTTCATTTATATTCGTGGCCGCCACCGCCCCTATTTCCATTTGGTTGTGCATAAAGGTAAGAATTTAAAAAAAAAAATATTCATGAGATGATTTTCTCAAACTAGGCTGCGAGTTCCCGTCTCTTCCTATTTCAACCAGTTTTTGTAAATGGAAGGAATGGCAGTGAACTTGGGACTTTGGTGTCATTTGGTTGTTTGCGAACCACAGAGAATTGCTAACTCCCCTTCTCTCTCTCATATATATATATAAATGGTCAACATCAGTGTCTTTTGTCATTCCTTCCTTCCTTATTTGAGTTGATTTGTTTGATTTTAGTTCCCTTTGAGTTAGTGTTGACTTCTCGCAAATGCCTGGACAGGTCCCTGGAATTTGCCCCAGCCTGTTTACTAGGGCTGAGGGAGTCACTGTTCAAAGTCACCCAGGTGACTTTGTGCCTTAGGCAGGACTAGAACTCACCGTCTCCTGGTGATTGGCCGAAAGTCACCCAGTTGGCTTTCATGGCTAAGGCGATACTAGAATTCACCATCTCCTGGTGATTGACCCAATGTCATCCAGCTGGTTTTCATGCCTAAGGCAGGACTAGAACTCACCGTCTCCTGGTGATTGGCCCAATATCATCCAGCTGGTTTTCATGGCTAAGGCAGGACTAGAACTCACCGTCTCCTGGTGATTGGCCCTAAGTCACCCAGCCGGCTTTCGTGCCTAAGTCAGGACTAGAACTCACCGTCTCCTGGTGATTGACCCAATATCATCCAGCTGGTTTTCATGGCTAAG